AAAATGTTTCTGTTTTACTTTAGTTCAGTTTGAGGAAGTTTGTCTCCAACAATGATAAATTAGACAAACATTCAAATCTATTCTCTGTGGAGCTTTGTGCTCCAATCACATCAGGAAAGGATCTCCTGACGTCCAGTAAGAACAGGAGGAATGATGACCACCAGCCCCAAAACACTGAACTCAGCTTTTAACATCTGGATAAAACACTAAAAGTCGGCTTTCACACCTTCATCTGTCTGTGATGTGTTTGTGTCTGTTAACAGTCCTAACACTGATGTGTTGTTCAGCTCTGAAATGTGTCCACTGAGCCGTCCTGATGTGTGTTACAAGAGGCAGAGCAAGAGTCCAGGTGTGCAGCTCGTCTTACCTGCAGCTCTGATGGAGGATGAGGAGGATGAAGGCTGCTGCTCAGGAGGCTCTCTGGTGATTCTGCAGGTGGTGTCTCTGTGAAGAAGACGCTGCTCTCTCCGTCCGTCTCTCTTTATGTGGATCCTGGAGAGCGGGGATGGAGGTGGAGTCCATGGTGGAGACACCTGATGGGAACCTCCCACTGATGGATGCTTATTCAGCCTCTTCTTACACAAACAGGACAACAGCAACAGGAAACACTGAAATAAGTTTGTCACTGCAGGATTAAAGACATTCAACAATAATGCTCTTCATGTCTTCTTAAAGCTCTTTGTCCTGCAAACAGCTGTGATACAACTGCATCTACATTTTGTCTCACACTCTTCATGACTGTGGTGTAATGTAAAAAGACATTTGACCTCACCTATGGGCTCAAAATGTGGTCATAAATATTTTGTACTTGTAAATCAGGATTTCTATGTGTAAAAAGATTTGGATCATATCATGGTTTTATATCAGAGACTCCATTATGGTTAATGTGATGTTGACCCATGAACCTTTCACATAGACGGAGTCAGAGTTTCTGTTTCACTCATGTCGAACTTGTGCTGGTGTGGAGGCAGCTGTGACTATGGGCCCTTTAAAGAAACGGCTCACATTTCAACAGTAACACAACATTACTAACAGAAGCTGGAGTCACATTAGAAATCTTTTTGAGAAGACATAAAAACAATGCGTCTTCTTCACGGTGCCATGTTCCATTATGTAAAGGCTCTTTGTCAGTTTGAAGTATGTCAGATGTAAGAGCTTTACTGAACTCGTGAAGCTTTCAAAGGATCAGAGTTATGAAATGTGCTGTTTTCATAATACAGAAAAAAGAAGTGTCAAATGTAACAGAGCAGGAAGATCTGTGCTTTTCTCTGAGCTGATGAGGAACAGCAGGTTGGTAAATGTGTAAATACCTCTTTAGTTCCAGGTAGAAAGTCACTGAGACCTGCAGCAACCGAGAACCAGAAGTTTCTTTCCTCAGTGCACTATTACTTCTGTATTGTACTCCAAACACATTTATTGATAAAGCTAAAATCAATAAAAATCAATAAAAATGAAAAATGAAAACACTGCATGATAACTGATCAATACTCTGTCCAGATAAATAGATTTTTATATGGATAATGGTGAAGGGACTGGTTCCTATATAGCACTTTTCTAATGTATATGAGCTCTCAAAGCACGTTACACAACTTTCTTTCTATGCTTGTTCTCAGTGCTACCTATCTAACACTGACACACATTCATATGTGAGCAACATGAAATTATTATCTTGACCAAGGTCATTTGGCATGAAGACCTGAGCAGACTAGGATCGACCAGCCCACCTTTCAGTTAGTAAGTGACCTGCACAACCTCCTGAGGTACAGCCTATATAGTGTGCAAGATTGATGAGATATGTGTAAGCATGTTGGACAGGGTCAGTCAGCTGACATTTCAATACCTCTGACTGGACAGAAAGCTGCATGATATGTGAAATTTGTAAAACATATACAGTGTTGTACATTGTTATACAATATAAAACAAATGTCGTCATGCTTCTTCATTCATCTGTGAAAATGGAGTCATCACACTGACATTTGACAGATTTGATCTCTAAACTGCAACAAAACACAATTTTCTATAAATATAGCTTGAAGCCTTGAAGCCATGTGTTGTAACCGTGTTTGTAACAAGTTCACTTAATTTATAGTGTATGGAATCATAAATACCAAACACTATTTCCTTTTGACGTAACTGTGAGCAGTTGTGCCCTACATTAATGGCACTGTGATTATCAAAACATCAAGTTAGACCTGAGTGTTCAGTCAAATGTATGTAGCCTATAACAGCATATGTAAAGAGGAGACCTTACATGTTGCACAATTTGTTTAGAGGAGCCAGCTATCCCAGATCTGACTCTTTAAAGCTTACCTAAAGTGCAGTTTGATAAAATTTCACAGATAACGCCCACGTGAGCTGTGTGACTGTTCACCACTACACTGAAATAAGTAGGCTATTACTGAAATACACGTGCTATATCATAAACTATGATATAAATGTGGAGGTGCTAATAACATCTTTAGTTGTAAAGGACACCGTTCTACCTTTAGTCTCATTCATGAGCAGTATTAGTTTCCTTAGTTTCTAACAAGCCTTTGACAGTTAAACATAACATGACTGAAACACCAACATTAAAAAACACACCACACACAAATCAGATGTTACTGTGCTTTTATTTTTATCTTAGTAAACTTTCTCTTTCCTCCTTTTATAAAAATGATTTTTAATTTTAGTTTTATCTCAAAATTCATGGTTAAGAAAAAAATCCAACACATATGAACACCAGGTAATAAAGCAAAGAGGATGGCTCAGTCTAACATGTGCTCTAGTGAGACATTAAACTTCACTAAAACAATGCAGTTATGAAATGTAACCTTAATCTGAGCCAAAGTGATTTGCTCAGTTGTAAATAAAACAGTGAAGTTAACGTGACCTGACAGACAGAACCTGAGTGAATGAAGTCCAGTAATAGTGTTCAGGCTGTATGGGAGAGTAAAGGTGATCGTGCATATTTTTCACTTTCAAGCTCATTGTACAAACTGTTTTACCCTGTATACTGTATTTCCATATATGTTTGCACATTTCAATAAATCACTGCACATATTCCCTATCGTCATAGCAACATGTAAAGAAATAAGCCATGGCTCGAAGGTAAACTTACAAACAGAAACTTCAGTGATGTTAAAAGTGTTGTTATTATTCTTGACTCAGCTACATGCCTCTTCTTCAGTGTTGTGTTGGTTTTACTAGTAACAATAATAAAACCTTTATGTTCAAAACACTTTATAATACCATGCTGTTAAAACCCAGCATCTGTTCTTTGACCATAACAGAGGATTACTGTATCAATTTTAATGTTAACAGCGTTAGCATCATTGCTAATTAAAGCTATTCTCACAGGTGAGCTACTATACATGCTGATATTTAAATTTGTCTTTACAATCTTGATGTTTGTCTGTATCATGATTGTTAATAGCTGTTCTTTATCTTCTTGTTTTTCATGTTTTGTTTTGTTTTTTGCTCTTTCAGCTGTCAGTGACTCTGCATCCACAGTTTCAGTTTCTGCTCCTGTTTGATTTTTTAGTTCTTTGTACTGTGAGGGTTTAAGTATGAACAGTATGTGATGTTTGAAGTACTTTGCATTGTTGTTTTGCTAACAGGTGCAGTGCAAATGGCTCCACATCATCTTGTCTTAGACTCTTCATGACTCTTCGTGACTTCTAAATGAAACAAAGTTTTTTTGTGCCAGATCAGATTTCATGCTAATGACTCACACATGCTCTGAATTCTGTTCTCACACGTTGAGAGTTTCGATGTGTTTACAAATGTGTGTTCTCATCGATACTTGAGCAGCAGCTTTCTGTAGCCTTGAAGATGACTTACAGACAGGTCATAGAGTGCAGTGCTGATTACCAGGACTGTGTGCTGTGTGTCTTTCATAGAGCACTCATTCAGCTCCCCATTATAAGTCTGTGCCCACTGCACATACCCAGATTTCAATCATTAATCAAGTTATATGATCCCAGGAAAGACTGTAAAATGTCCTAATTATTTACAGCAAAATATAAATCTTTTACAGTCTGCAACAAAGCAGTTTTTGCCTTTATGGGTAGCTTTCCTCCTCATTATCAATTTGCAACATACTTACAACCAGCAGCGTTAGAATCAAAACGTGAACTTTCCTTCAAAATTTTACTATTAATCAAATCAAATCAAATCAAATCACTTTTATTGTCACATCACATGTGCAGGCACACTGGCACAGCACATGCGAGTGAAATTCTTACGCTTACTGCCATCATAAAGCAAACTGCAACTGCACCAAAGTGTTTGATTGGCAATTGTTTGATTTTTCAGCATAAAAATGAAGTAGAGCTCTAAATGTCCTACAGGAAAATATTTCTGATGATACCTAAAAGAAATTACAGAAATACAGTTCAGGCTGTGTATGAACTTTGTTTTTCCATATACTGTACTTCCATATATGTTTCAATAAATCACTGCACCTATTTCCTTTTCTCAGGGCAACATGTAAAGAAATGAACGGTTGCTCAAGACTTTTGCACATTACTGTACATCATGGTAAACTTACAAACAGAAACTGCAGTGATGTTAAAATGTTGTTATGATTCTTGACATTGTAGACTCAGCTACATGCCTCTTCTTCAGCGTGCCATGTTTTAATTTGTATTGGAAACTTTTATGTTCAAGGCATCTCACCTCAGAGAACAGAACAAATGAAAAAATATGTCAAATGTACCAGAGCATGAAATTCCTCTTCAAATGCTTCACTGAGCTGATGCAGGTTGGTAAAGGCGTCTTTGCAACCTACTTGCAACCAGCAGCGTTAGTGAATGAAAAAAAAAAGTTCCTTTCTAAGTAACTATTATTATTATTATTCCCATCATAATGCTACTGCAACAGTAACAAATACTGAAAACGTTTAATCATGAAGATAAAAATGAAAAGATTTCAAACTTGTCTTAAACTATTTATTTCAACAGACATTTTGAACATTGTCAACAAGTTTGAAGGATTTAAAGAAAGAAAGAAAAGAAAGAAAATAAACTGTAGCAGTAATGTCCTGATGCTCAGCTGTGTGATGTCAGTGTTTTATTTACAGTTTGTTTGTTTTTTTCCCCCAATGCAGTGTGGGCAGCTTTTCAGCTCCTTGTCCCAGTTCTGCACTCCTCTCCTGCACCTGCTCCTCTCTTCCCTCTCCAGGCTTCACATAGAAATTTGAGGCTGTTATTAGTGATGACTGCCAGCCTTACCTGATGCAGTCCTCTGAACATGTCCCTCCACCCCTCTCCTTAACACCCCTCACGCCTCTTTGCCTTCAGATGTTAATAGTAAGAAAACAAGTACTAAAAACAAACATATAAAGTATATATTTAAACTGAAAGTCAGAGAAACAAACATCAACAACCAGGAAGCAGCTTCACCTCTGATCACACATCATTGAACTTTTACAGCCCTGTGTCCCTAGTAGGTCCCTGAGGCCATGTGATCAGGGCCTACTTGTTATTCAGCA